ATTGTGAGACGTTTATTTTTATTTTTGATGTTGAATGGAAGGAGGAAATTATTTATAGATTGTGTTTGCACATGAATAATATTTGCCCTGTGTTTTTTCCTCCAGATATTTCTTCCATTGATTATAGTGGTTAACATTCATGGAGTTGGGGGGGGGAAACTGGGAGGGAAACTCGGACGGCAGCAGTGGCCATGTGAACATTTGCTTGGATGTAACATTTGTCTGCTGAACCCACTGGGGTTATCAAATAACATGGACTCTCAGTTGATTTAGGTCTCTGTCCATCTCAAAGGTAGATTTGCTGAATATTAAAAAAAAATTGGTAGCTGGAGGAGGGAATGGGAATGAATTTGCATAGCAAAATTTTAGTTTTACTGATGGCAGGTTGAACACATTTATTGGTAAAATTATCTTTTGAAATCTACAGATCAGCAACTAAAAATAAGCTATATCAGCTGAGCAGAAATGTAATGATTTGGTTTTATATTGCTGGTTACTCACATAGCAATAGGGCAGCTTTGTCATGCTAGTTGATATTGGATATTCTCTCTCTTAACTGATGCAACAGCTGCTATGAATCATTTCTGAACTCCTTTCCTCTGCCCTTTGTTCAGGCACCAGGAATCTCAAATTTCACAAATGCTTTTGGAGGTTGTAAGTTCTTGTGCACAAAAACAACAACTTGCATTTATATTTAATGTCTAAATTAAATATTATACATAATATAATACAGTGGTAGGGGAGAAGTGACCATAGGGACAGTTGAAAAGGTAGGTTTTCAGGTGGGATTTAAAGATAAAGAAGGGGGCAAGGCAGAGAGATTCAGGCAGGGCATTCCAGAGATTAGGGGCATGGTGGATGAAAGTGACACCAATGGCACTGAGGGGTTGAGGGACACACAGCAGGCCTGTGTTAGCTAAGCAAAGGGTCAGGCAGAGGAGTGGGGTACAATCAGGCCAGAGGTAGGGAGGGTCTACTGTGAAGGGATTTGTATGTGAAGGTGAGCATCCTGAAGCCAATCCACTTGGAGTGATTTTTTATTTGCACAACTGTAGTGATTTTTCTCAACTTCACCTCAGGTACAGTACTGCCACTGTTAGGACTTTAAAGAAAACAGCTACCATTTATACTCTTTTTTTTTTGGTTGGCCTGTGTCCTGTGGGTTATTCTTTTTATGGTTGGATTTAGCTTTGCTTCTCTTTTTGTCCCTATTGTTACCTTTCTGGTGCTTCCATCCTCCCTGTTGCTTTCTATTCTCGTAGAATCGTATGGAGCTCCCTGGCTATATGGACCAGTATTCAAATTTAGCCGGTGATACCCATATCTAATTGACTGCAGTACTAATGCTGCTAACTCTCTAGTTGTATCTCTTTCATGAGATGCAACTCTAATGTCTTATATACTATCTTGCGCTTGCAGTGTTTACAGTACCTTTTAGTTTTGTTAGTGCGGTTTACCTTGTGACACATGTAGTTAGAGATTAAATTATCCAGCTTGCAAATTTTTTTTGGAGTCATTGTCATTTATTTAATTTTGCTAAAATGATTATAAGAAACCTGTTAGACTACTTTCCTTGCAAAAGAATGATGCTGGGTTTTTACTATATTGTAAGACTTGGCTCTTTCCATTCACTTGTGTATGGCTGCTGGAGCAACAATTATAAGAGTTACAATTATAATTTGCGGAGTCCTGTACCTCAGTGGTTAGAGCACTTGCCTTGCAAGCGAGAGACATGGGTTTGATTCCTGGCAGGGCGAAACATTGGGCAAGTTTCCTTACTCCACACGCCTCTGTTTACCTAGCAGTAAGTAGGAACAGTAAATAGGAACCCGGTTGTTAGTTGATTGGCTGGTCGCTTTTCTGGGGATAATAATTCCTTCAAAAAAAAGAATAATAAATTGGTCACTTCAATCCACAACTGTTTGTGGGACACAGCTGTGCGCAATTGGCTGCCCACAAAATATACAGTCAATTCACTTTGCACTATATTCTGAAGTGCTTTGAGATGTCTCGAAGACGTGATAAGGCCCTATATCAAATGCAAGGATTATTATTATTATTAAGAGCATGTTGAAGATTTTGTTGTGAATCACTTGTTCATTTATGTGCAATATTCTTGCTTGCCTCTTGATACTTACTGGTGTATCCTTCAGTATAATGTAAAATGGTGTGGATCGATCAAAGGAAATATCTCTGAAATGACGACTTTATGGAAAATGTATTTCATAACATAGAGTGCAGTGCATTGGTATTCCAGTGCTCTTGTGTGGGACAAAATGCTCCATACAATAAGCTCTGATATTGAACAAAAGACAAATTTCCAGTGACTTCTGTTTTTATTTCTGGTGTTGAACATTTCACTGAGCAAGTAACTGAGGAAGCTAGACACTTGAGAAGAAAGGAGTGAAATTCAGAATGCAAATAACCCAGGACTATTCTTGGAAAACTTTTAATGGCTTCATGCAGCCAAGGCAGAGAATTTGAAAGGTTTTTTGCCTCCTTTCATACCATTGTTAAATATAATAGAATTTATATTTTCACGTCGGGAGGACGCAAAGTGGGGTGGGAGCTGAAGAGGGTGAGGAAATGTGCGGGTAGAGAGGTAAGTATTGAGGTATGCTTTCAACATAAGGAGGAAAGGGGGAACGAGTCACAGAGACTCTGGAATGGAGTTCCAGAAAGCGAGTGTATAATGGCTGAAAGTTCATCCGCAGATGATGGAGTGTATGGGGCAGGGGACATGAAGCAGGCTGATATGTTGTTAGGGAAGGAAGTTGGTTTGGCAAGTCAAAGGTGTATTCATGGAAATTGTTGTTTAAAAGTTTTTTTTTAAATCCTCTGTTTTGCCGCACAGTGCCAACGTGGAAATGCACAATTTCAGATCCATGGCTTCCTCTCCTACAAACAAGGTTCTTTAATCCTGAATTGACTACAAAGGATTGAACATGTACAATCCTAACAGATAAAGACTTGAAATTAGCAGAAGCTGACTTTACCACCATGCTATGTAGAGACTGTTCAAACTTGCTTATGGATTGCTAATGGATTACAAAACAACCTGCGATGTTAGAGTTAGCAGTGCAAATGTAATTGAACATTAGAACCTTTCAGGGAGGTCTAGGAGGACTACTCTACAGTAACATTACCAAGGAAACCTGTATTGCTACACACATTTATGAAGTGCCTTTTGATTTTGTGGGTTGTCTTTTTGAATTTTTTTGTGAATAGAATATATGATTGGATGTAGAGACCAGTGGGCTAAAATACGAGGGAGGGGGTATGCAGTTGTTGTAGTTGTTGACTTGCTTTTTGTTATTTATTATTATGATAGATGCATATACTAAGCTTATTTTAGCCTGATATATTACAATACCAACTTGCATTTGTACAGTGCCTTTCATGTCGGGAGTTCATCCCAAGGCACTGGACAGTCAGGCATTTGGACCTGAACAGAGTATTGGGTCAGGAGGGGTGGAGGCTAGGGAGGGTATTTTGATGACCGAAGGTGTGATCGACAAGGAGGGTCGTTGAGACGTGCCTTGAAGGAGGCAAGGGAGGGAACAAGGCAAGGTACTGTGGGATGGAGTTCCAAAGGGTGAAGGCAGAGAGGCTGAAGACCGACTGCAAGATGGTGGGGACTGGGCGGGGGTCAGGAAGCAGGCTGGAGCCTGCTGAGCAGAGAGAGCGGAGGGAAAGAACAGGTTGATATGAATACAGATATGAGAAAGATGTGCACATTCAAATCAAAATAATTTAGGTGCTATACAGAATTTAGTGTTTGTCATGTAAATACATAATGCAGATCCTATTAGATATTGATAATTCTCATGAAAGATGAATGCATTGTGTTATTTTTTAATGAAATAGCTCTACATATATGTGTTGCCTTACTTTATACTGCTGTATGTTCAAGCTTGTTACTGAAGTATGATGTTGTGAAGCAGTAAGATACTTCATAGTGATTTTGAAAGCAGGTGCTGTTTTGTTTACCAGCTCCTCTTAGTCCCAGTACACAGCTTTAAAGGTTGTTTATATAATGCCAATTAAATGAAAGTGTCTTGTTAAGAAAATGAGCTGATTAATGGTGCAGTTTATCCTATATAATTACATGATTAATGTGAGTTATCACCAGCTATTACAATCATAAATCAGCTCTGAACATTTGCCCAATTAATATACAAGGTGCGAATATGGGAACATGCAACATTTTAGTGGTGGCAGATATTTAGGCTCATTAAAAAAACTGAAGTGTTCTCTGTGTTTGTAAGAAAAAAAAGTTGATAGTATGATGGAACAGCGCACCTTATCCTTGCATACCAAACAAATGTGTGGGTGGAGGTTGTTTTGCATATTTGCATTTTGCAAACTTAGACTATCCATCTGCTTTGTAGTACTATTTGTAGTTACAAATTTTGGCAATCAGTTTGTAAGAAAGTAACTCAAAATGTGCAAAATTCAGATTTAATTTTTCATTTCATTTTTTGAGATGCCCTACAAATTTCGCTGAGTGGTCAGGGAGGGTAGGGCTTTTGATATCCCTATAACCCCCTGATTGAAGAAATGTTTTCTAGCAAAAATTCTAAAGTGAAAGCTAAACCATTTTGAGATTGTCTCCTTATTCTCGACTCCCCTCTTAGAGAAATGAGTTGTTCTGCAACAACTGGAACTAATTATTTAATTTTCTTAAAGTCTCAGTCAGATCCCTTAAGCTATTTGTTTCCTTTATTTTTATTATCTCCTCATGTGAAATCATTTCTTGCAGGGGAGGACAATTATTGCTGCAGAGTTATTTTTTTCTGCTAAGTGTTGGTAATGATTTTGATGTTATAATCCTTTGAAACTTGGTGGGTTAGATGATAAAGAATGTGGTCAGACACAATTGGATTTGATACTTTTGGGGAGTGTTTCAGTCCCTTTGTAGTTGTGATCTTAAGGTTAATGCAAGGTGTAAGGTCATAAAAAGATCAATAAATTTATCTTTTTTTCTTCCTTTTTTTCAGATTATGAAACCATGAAATCCACTGCTATTATAATCAGAGTAGAAGGTAACAGCCACAACTCCTCAAAGAATCTATTGCCATGGCCAACATGTAATTGCCATTAACTTTATCTTCTCAGACAGTAAAGGAGGATAACTTTTATTTTGCCAATGGTTCCAGTATAATCATGGTTTATACCGCCCTTTTGACTGATACGCATGCAGGGACCTCCAATGGCACATTTGTTCACTCCGAACATGCCTATTTCAACTCTACAGCGCACCCAGTAGTTTGGAATGGGATGGAGCTATCTGTGGCTGAAGGATCTGTCACATACAAGACAACAGAAAGAAATTCCATTGGAAACAGCACAGCAGTTCCTTCTCAGTCAGACTTTGGCGAAATAGGCCTGCCTCTGCAGGTTATCCTTTCTGCATCAATGGTAGTAATAGCTTTAATTTCTTTCCTAGGAAATCTTATTGTCTGCCTCATGGTCTATCAGAAGGCAGCTATGCGATCAGCAATTAACATCCTCCTGGCAAGTTTAGCATTTGCTGACATGATGCTTTCAGTATTGAATATGCCTTTTGCCCTAGTAACTGTCAATACTACCCGCTGGATCTTTGGAGATGTCTTTTGCAGGGTGTCTGCCATGTTCTTCTGGCTTTTTCTGATGGAAGGGGTAGTTATTTTACTTATTATTAGCGTTGATCGTTTTCTCATTATAGTTCAAAGACAGGACAAACTGAACCCTCACCGCGCTAAGTTGTTTATTGCCATCTCTTGGGGTGTGTCATTTTGCATGGCCTTTCCACTTGCAGCTGGTAGCCCAGATCTGCAGGTGCCACCTCATGCTCCACAGTGTGTATTTGGCTACTCCACAAACCCTGGCTATCGGGCTTATGTTCTATTGATAATGGTTGTCTTCTTCTTCATCCCATTCATGCTCATGCTGTACTCTTTCATGGGAATCCTCAACACTGTCCGCCACAATGCAATTCGTATCCATAGCAGCTCAGATAGTATATGTTTGGGCCAAGCAAGTAAACTTGGTCTCATGAGCCTACAGAGACCGTACCAGCTAAGCATAGATCTGAGCTTCAAAACTCGTGCCTTCACCACCATCCTGATACTGTTTGTTGTCTTCACCTGCTGCACAGCACCATTCACCACATACAGTCTTGTTTCTACATTCAACCGACGTTTTTACCATAAACCCAATTTCTTTGAGATAAGCACATGGCTCCTTTGGTTAAGCTACCTCAAATCTGCACTTAACCCATTAATTTACTATTGGAGGATTAAAAAATTCCGGGATGCTTGCTTAGAACTGTTGCCAAAAACTTTTAAGTTCTTGCCTCAACTGCCTGGACGTACAAGGAGGCGAATTCGGCCAAGTGCCATTTACGTTTGCGGAGAACATCGGTCTGTTGTGTAAGACTGGAGCTGTTAAGTTTTTAAAAATGTGTACATTTTATTATTTTCAGAGAAGGATTTTTGCTTTAAACATTGCCATCATGTGACTGGCCAATTGCTTAAATGGTGTTCTTGCCTTCCATTTCTCCTCTTTCATCCTCCAAAAGTGGATTCAATTGTAATTTTAAATACATTTCAAATGCAGCTGCACTGTAGTTGGGAACAGTTGCAAATTTGTTTTTATAATGTAAATTTGAAAATGACATCTGTAAATTTTTTACCTTTTTGGATATTTTGTAAATGTCTGGGTCAGTTGCCATGCTTCAAATCTTGTGATTTTAATTGACCACTGGTCTAACGCTGCTAATTTTAGTGAAAATGTGCAATTCTGTGTTGTGTTCTGACCACTAAATGAAATTGACCATTATCGACAAACTAATTAAGCACAATTATTCTCTCAGGCTAGCCACAAGTTACAAGCGAATCCCGTACATTTAATGATATATGGATGGTTCCTTTTGGCATAAGTAGATACTTAATGGGTATTACTCTTACTTTTCATTGCCGTAAAAGGAATAATACTGGTTCACAATGTAACGGTAGTTGTGAAAGAATGTTATTGATCAAATTGCATCAAAAATGACATCCATCCAATAATTTATCCAGGGCTTTTTAAAGTAACTGAAGCATTATTTGTGTACGTGCTTCCTGATTTCCTGATCAGGCTATGGAATTAGCAGTTCCAATCTTAGCCTTTAATGCATGCAGAATACATCATGGAGGGTACTGTAATATTCGCTACTTAAATTTGTTTATCATTTCCAACGAGAGTTAACATTTTAACAAAGAACATTTTATCAATGTAACTATTCATTGCCTTTGTATACAGTTGTGTATTTATCAATAACCATAGTCTGAAGATTGTTATAAATATGTTATTTTGAGAGCCCTGAAACAAATTTAGAATGCAAAAGGATTAGAGAGGTGAAAACTGCAAAATTTCATAACCAATTTAATATGATCAGGTTAGAAATATCGCAATTTCAGCGTATTTATCAACTGTTATCAGGTGGGAACAGTCTTTCTTCAAATTTGATGCACCCTAATTTTCCCTACAAATTTCAATGTGTCATTGTTCATTGAAATCACAGAGAGTAGGATTTCACTACCATTTCAAGGGATACCAGAGTTGAACTCAATCTGATTAAATTATTATTAAATGCCATTCATAACAAAACTACAATGTCAGTCCTAAAATCTTTTGATTACACTGTTGTACTTGAGTCGGGCTGGGGGGGGAGGATTTGCATACAAAACCAAAATATTCACTGAAATTGCAATGTTTCGACATTGAATCTGTTATGAAACATTGCATCTTTCCTCCCCAGAATATATTTTGTACATCGATAAGTGAAATCAAGTAAGACATCTGGTCAATAAGAAATTGTGGTTATTATATTAGAGGCAATTCAGAATGTTGTCAACCTGATGTCCTAATATGCTTGAGGCAACACTGTTTTAAGTGATGTCAAATTAATCATCTGCCATTGCTGTGTTTTAAAAGCCCAAAACATTCTACAGGCAGCAGGGAATTGTGATTTTTGGTTGTAAACGGAGGCAGAGTTTTGGCAATCTTCCTCATTTGCACATTTAAATAAGGGAAAGTGTTGATAGTTTAGTTATGCTGGTTGCATCACTCATATACAACAATAATTAGCATTTATATAGCACCCTTCATGCAGGTAGCGTCTTGGAGCATTCAACAGTGACTGATTCGATTCCGAGCTGAGGATGGAGGCAAGGTGACCGTAGGTATGGTCAAAGAGAAAGGTCTTCAGGCATTCAAGTCTTGTTTTCACTATGAATTGCACTTTTGTGAGTTTGTAAATTATTTCTTCATTTAATAAACATCTCTTTGAAAATATTTAAAAAATTGACGAGGCACTAGCACTAGATATTGTAAATATTTTTTAACGGAACTTGTTGCCTTATATAATCAGATTTTTATAATGAAAATATGCATTTACTGTAAAATCATGATTCTAAATTGTGACTTGACTACATTGTAACTTTGTACAAATGAGTATAAAATTTACTTCTCATGGGGGTAAGCAGTTTGCTATTGAGTGGTAGGATGAGTAGCGCTTGCTGCTCATCCTCTTTGTGGTTAGCTACTAGCTGAAGTTACACAAATATGGAAAGACATCAAACCAAAAGCTGGTGCTTTCTCATGAGGTAGCAGGGGTTTCAGGGTGGCATTGTCATTAGGTCATTTCCCCCTTATACTTATGACTTGGGATTTAAGAGGAAGGGAAATTTGTATTCTTAAAATAATTTAAATGCTCTCCTATACTTAAAGGATATTAAAAAAGCAGAGAATGCAAATTATCCATTTTGGGTTTGCATTTTTAGAAAATGTTGCAGTATTATAGTTGTCTTTGGACTTGTTTATGCTGTTGTTCAGATCCCTTTGTCAGTTCCTCACTTTCCTTCATTATTGCAATCAATTTGTTACAGTTCATGAAGGTTGTGTTGTTTCTAAATCATGCAAAACATCCCCGAGGATTAATTATTGGAAAAGACTAAGTGGTTTTAAAGTGCTGTCAAAATTAGGCTCAGCCATCATAAATCTATTGGCGGACGAAGCTTGAGGTTGTTGAAGAAGATCTTTGAGAGTCTAATTTTATTTTATTTTGGGAATCCAAAATAATCCATCAAACAAATTTGCAATATAAATTTATGAAAAATTTTACAAAATCCTACGTTGCTCCAAAAAGCAGAACATGCACCACAATTGTCCAATATGCAGGTAAATTCTGTATAATAAAACAAGCCTTAATATATTTTCAAATGAATGTAATTGGTACAAGTACTGTACAACTTCACAGGCTTAAATATCACAGGCAATGTTTTCAAAGTTGGTTTATCCACAGTGTGCACAGTGGAGACCTGGAATCGAAATAGATTAGCCAAATTGATTAAATTCAACAACTTGAATTATTATAGCGCCCCTCACACAGGGTAGCGTCCCAGAGCACTTCTGACTTCTCTCCTTCTAATTTCGTTCAAGAATAGCTACCTAAAGAAACTCTAAAATTAAAATCCTTGCACTGAGATGTATAATCCAATAGGTCTAGTAGCTCTTTCCAATCAACTTTGTTTCCATATTTAAATAAATAGACTAACATTTAAATATATGTACAATGCATCATTGACAGTGGGGTCTGTTTGTGTGAGATATGTTAATAATTAAAGGGCTTTTATTTGTGGAAAATAATAACCAGTCTTCTAGTGACTCGATCACCGTTCACTAAACTGGTAGCAGGTTGTTACTGATAATAATAATAATTCTTGCATTTGATATAGCGCCTTATCACGTCTTCTAGACATCTCAAAGCGCTTCACCAAATATACTATAAAATGAATTGACTTTTTGTGGGTGAAATCGGCAGTCAATTGTCCCACAAACACTGTCGTGGATTAAGTGATCAAATTGTTTTTTTTAAGGAATTATTATTCCGGGAAAAGCGATCTGCCAATCGACTTGCAACCTGGTTCCTACTTACGGCTAGGTAAACGGAGGCATGTGGAGTAAGGAAACTAGCCAACGTTTCACTCTGCTAGGAATCAAACCCAGGTCCTCTCGCTTGTGAGGCAAATGCTCTAACCACTAAGCTACAGAACTCCACGTATTCACAATCCAATATTAGAATTAGGCCAGTTATTTTTGTTTACGTTTGATGAAATGATATAACGTGTACATTTAGTGCTCCATTAACTTTTTAATTCCTTTCCCATCCCCAAAATAGTGTTCTTAAATAGACATTTTCATTGCCAAGGTTTCCTATGAAAATTCTCCTTCAACCGTAATTTTGGGCCATATGGTTTTCTTCTGTGCTAAAATTCCTGGTTCTGTGAATGCCATTTTTGGTTCAGATAATGTCTCAATAGCTTATGATTTTCTTTTCAGTAAACCTGTATTAAATTGAAAAATCTGCACCAAATTGAGAAATCGTCAACTTACTAGCGGATTCAAAGAATAGTTCAATAGCTTTTGCACATAAAATATTTGTTATGTAGTGTAGTTGTTATCCCTTTAAATACATGTTCAGATCTACAAACTTCATGGGGGTTAAACACAAATTACTAATTTGTTAGTTCTCATTCCTAGCTTTCTGTCTTCTCATTGCGTTGCACAATCCTTTCACATTTTAGCAGTATTTGTTTCAGTATCATTTGTCAGTAGCTTCCAATGACCATTTCTCTCCCCCCACCCCTCCAAACACACCTCCTCGGCCCTCATTCCCAGCTCGGTTGCAAGCTTTAGACTGTCCAGCACCTTGGGACATCTTCATGATGTAAAAGGCACTATAGAAATGCAAATTTGTTTGGTATGGTAACTTGATACCATCTTCCTGACTTCTCCCCTTCTAATATCATAATTATTACCCTGTCTCTGATATCTTGATGCCTTCACTATAATTGAACATTTTGAATAATCAACTTCTATCACAACACCTCAGTCTCTTTTTCTAAAGAGAACAAGCCCACCATCTTACCTGTCTAGATAACCTAAATCTGAAATATCAGTACATTGCTTGCATTAATATATCTTGCTTAATGTTGTGGGCACACTGCAGTGAATAATTGCTGGTTCTGTGTTTGAATTGTACTACAATTTTTGCAGTCATCGATCTGCATGGACATTTTGAATGAGCCATATATTTTTAAACATTTCCCTTGCTGATCGATACCTCCCCTGGGTGTTGTCTTCAAGTGGTGAATCCAGGCAGGTTTACAGTTTTAGCATTGCTTTTCTGTTGTGTGACGTGGACTTGAGGTAGATTATTTATTTTTGCTGGGAATGTCACTGATTTGTTTTCCACTAACCTATTTCTGAGCCATGAAATGCTCCACTTAAATACTGGTGTACAAATGGTGCATTCTCCAAGTGAAAAAGTTATTTGCTTTGGTATGACGTATTATTTTCTTTGTTGCAAACCTCAATGTAACCTGTAGAAGATTGAACTGGAGTATCAGTTTTTTTATTTGGAGGAAAACCGTGCACT